TTGAACAATACATGATTAAACTGTGCAGGCCCACTTATAGATGAATTTTTTTCAATAAATACATTGGAAAACTATCCAGAGATTTGAGATGATTTGAAAAAATTCACAGGGGGCTTGCATAGCCTAGAAATACAAAAAATTAAGAAAAAGGTATCATGAATGCATAAAATTTATGTAGATAGTAGTCTATTTTATCACTTAATACACACAAATATACACAAATATATACATAAATATAAAAGGATTAAATTTATCAAAAGTTATGCACAAACACACACGCACATACACACTTATAGACCATGAATAGCACTATACATCCCTGATGAGCAATTTCTATAGTAAACTGTAATCTCAAAGTGATCACTGATGGTCCATGGGTATTTCTCATTGTGTTCAGTACAATACCGTAAGCCTTGAATAACACCATAGGACTCAAATGAAGTGCCCGTAGTGGTGCTGGAAGTGCTCACAAGAAACAGAGAGAAGTCATGACTTTATACAAAAAGTTGCTTGTTATGTACCACAGTTTGGGTCTGCAGTTGTGGTTGCCACCATTTCAAGATGAATGAATCCATCATAAGGATCACTGTAAGAAAAAGAAAAGGAAATTTATGAAGCCATCACTGCAGCTACACCAGCAGGTGTGAAAATCTTGTGCTTTTTGTGAAATACCTTATCTTATATTGAAAATATAGCTTGTATATGGGTGCAGGATTGCTATAAGCAAGGCATATCTATAGATTCTAATATGATTGAAGAAAAATCAAAGTCGTCATGGCAATCTAAAGCAAAAGGGGGGGGGGGTGAAGGACCTAAAGCTGGAAAATTCTATGCCAGCAAAGGATGGTCAGATAACTTTAGAGAGAGGTTTGACTTAAAATATCAAAATAATAGTAGAAACAAATTTTGAGAAATCAAGAGGCAACAGATGCATCCCCAGGTGCCATTAAAATCACTGGGTATTAATCTTGTATCCTGCGACTTTACTAATTCATTGATGAGCTCTAGTAGTTTTCTGGTAGCATCTGTAGGCTTTTCTATGTCTAGTATCATGTCATCTGCAAACTGTGCCAGTTTTAGTGGTTTTCCAACTTGGATTCTTTTTATTTCTTCTCTTCTCTGATTACCACAGCTAGGACTTCTGAAATCATGTTGAATAAAAGTGGAGACAGCCGCCGCCCGCACGCCGGCCCCGCCTCTCGCTGCCCACGCCGGGCCCAGCTGCCCGGAGCCCCGCGGCCGGCTCCTCCTCCTCCTCCTCCTCTTCCTCCTCCTCCGCCTCCTTCCGCCGCCCGCACGCCGGCCCCGCCTCTCGCTGCCCGCGCCGGGCCCAGCTGCCGGGAGAGGAGGCTCCTGCCTTCGGGCGCTTGGCCGCCGGGCCGACCGCGGGAAGCCCCCTGGTGCCCTCAACCCCGACGGGAGGCTGCGCACCGGCCGGGGACACGTGTTTGTGTTGCTTTTTAAGCCAGCGGCCCGGCAGGAAAGGCGGCTAACCTCCGGGAGTTATCCTGCGTTGCCCGGCCCGGTGACTCGCGGTCGGGGAGGGCGTGGGCACGGCAGGCGGCTGGGCTTGGCTGCTGTACCCCACGGCCGGCTGGCTCCTTGGGAACCATCCCGGTGGAAGATTGCGCTCCCGGGTGTCCGGCGGCCCCCGCGCAAAGTTTGTTCCAGCATCTTGGCTCAGCCTGAGTGCTCTGCTCTGAAAACTATTGGGGCATTATTCATCGAATATTTATGCATCCCCTTACCACGTGTTTGTTGGCAGCGTGGTTTGGTAGAAAGAAGCCGCAGTTTGGAATCAAGACAGATCTGCCATGGATTCTGGATCTGATATCCTGTGTATAACCTTGGACAAGTTCATTGATCTTGCTGAGTCCCCGTTTCTTTTGTCTTTTATTTGATTTTTGACTGTTATTTTAATTTACCCTTTTATATTTGAAATTCCTTTGTGTGTGTGCCTGTGTGCAAAAACCAGAACTGTGTCCTTTAGCTAAGTCTACCTAAATTGGATTCTAAAGTACTCCTTGCTTTGGGATTATTGTTATTCCTTTCCACCATTAGTAGCTGTGTTACCTGGAGAAAATGAGAGCCTTCTTGTGCTTTTCCCATCTTTAAAATGGGCTAAAAAAAAAAAAAGGGCGTGATTACAGATGATGATAATAATAACAGCAAGTATTTGGTGAATTAAGAGCTAAAGTGTATGTAAACTAGCAGGGGACACAGTAAAAGCAGTTTGTTACCGTATTTCTTAAATCTGATTTAAGAGGCGTCTTCATTTCAAAAATATAAAAAGCTCATCTTAAAGTCAAGGAAATAAATATTAGGTCACTCAGCTCTACTCAAAGGCTTGTGTGTGTTTGGTGGTAATTAATGATCAGCCAAACTAAGGTTTAAACAAACAGGGCTTTAAATGAGGACTTTGTCACCAGAAATATTTCCAATGCATGTATGGAGCTTTTGCCTCAGTCCAGTCCTGCACAGCTTGAAGAGGTTCATCAAGGCCATAACGGGGTTTGGTGGGATAGAAAGAATAGGGCTTCCAGGGATTTCCTGGTGGTCCAGTGGTTAAGACCCTGTGCTTCCAAGCCAGGGGGCTATGGTTCAATCCCTGGTTGGGGAACTAATTTCCCACATGCCCTGTGGCATGGGGAAAAAAAAATGGGCTTAGTTATCAAGGCTAAGATTAACTGACGATCGTCTCCTGCCAGTGACTTTCTATGCACTTTAGGGTATTGTGTGTGTGATCCAAGGTACCAAACTCTTAGTACCCTTGGCCTATAAAAGGAAAAACAGCAACACCCCATAATCCTGTGATAAGTAAATGATTTCTGTAAATATATTAAGTGATAGAGATTAAGGCATTATCAATAATATAGTCAGACAAAATGCTGGAGCAGGTAGGGGAGCTGACAGAAATATAACTGAACTCCAGGAAGGAGTAAGAGTTTGTTTCGGCTTGGGAAATTTTTAGCTAATCCTATTAAGGAGTGCATACAGATGACTGTCTAAACCTGAAAGGGCTATCAGCTGTTTGACAGTTATTGTTTTCAGTCAGGCAAGAGTAAGAAAATGAAGAATCTGATTAAAATAATATATTTTTTTCTCTTTGTTAAGAGTAAGCAAGAATATTATGATTATTTAATTAATTGATTATTAATTATTATTAATTGATTAATAATCAATTCAGGGTTTTCATAACTGGACGAAACATTTCCTCAGTTCAACTAGAGTCAGCCCTTCAATTAAAACAACCTGCTTGCTCTCCTACCATGTAGGAGACTCCATTTGCCAAAGGATTAATGTTAACGTTCTTACCAAGTTGTTCATTAAATGATGTTTGTTCTTCAAAAAAAAAAAAAAAGTGGAGACAATGCACATCCTTGAGATTTTCATATTAAGTGAAGTCAGACAAAGACAAATATCACATCACTCATATGTGGAAATATAATTTTAAAAAATTGATACAAAGGAACTTATTTACAAAATAGAAACAGACTGAACAGATCTCAAAAATTAACTTATGTTTGCCAAAGAGGAAACATCATAGGGAGGGATAAATCCTGAGTTTGGGATATACACACTACTGTATATAAGGTAGATAACCAACAAGGACCTACTGTATAGAGGAGGAAACTCAATATTCTGTGATAACTTCTATGAGAAAAGATTCTTTAAAAGAATGGATATATGTATATATATCACTGAATCACTTTGCAGTACACCTGAAACTTATACAACATTGTAAATCAACTATACTCCAAGAGAATTTTAAAAAAGAAAATCACTGAGGAGAAAACATCTGTCTGGACAGGTTTTAATGCAGATGAAAGTGCCCTATTCTGGGGGAAATGCCACAAAGTACATGCATTGGTAAGGAAGGGAAGTGAACTCCAGGAATTGAGACAGAATGAGATAGGCTAATTCTATGATTTTGTGCTAATGCCGTCAGGGTTCTGTGCAAAAGATCAGGACTCCCCTAACCTATAGAGCTACTAACACTGAGCCTTCAAGGGAAACAATAAACACCATCTGCCAGTGTTTCCGTTGTACAACAAGAAGGCCAGACAGCAGGAACGTTTGGGGGGATTAGTTTCATCAGTGCTTCGTCCCTGAATTCAGGAAGTACCTTGCCAGTAAGGGACTGCCTTTTAAAATTCTTTTGATATTGGACAATGCCCTTGGCCATCCAGAACCCCGTGAGTTCAACACTGAAGGCGTCAAAGTGGTCTCCTTTCCCCTAAACACAACATCTCTAAGTCAGCCTATAGATCAGAGGGTCAGAGGGACCTTTAGGGCTCAGTACACATGGCACTCTATGGAAATGTTTGTCAATACTATGGAAGAGAACCCTGATAGAACATCATGAAGTCTGGAAGGATTGCACGACTGAAGATGTGATTGTTGTCACACACACACACACACACAAAAAGCCCATGAAAGCCCAAACAATAAATTCCTGCTAAAGAAAACTGTCCAGGTGTTGTACTTGCCTTCATAGAATTTGTGACAGAGTCAGTCAAGGAAATCATGAAAGACATTGTGGATATAGCATGAAAGGGTCGGAGGCAGTGAAGAGTCCCAAAATATGGATCTTGAAACAATCCAAGGGCTAACAGAAATTACAGCATAGAAATTAACAGAATACAACTTGATGGACATGATTGGTTCCAAACAAGAGCTGGATGATCAAGAATAAGATATAGAAGAAGCAGTGTCAGAAACCAAATTGACATTAGACAATCTGGCAGAAGTGTTCAGAGTACTCAAGACTGCGTTTGACTCTTGTGTGGCATGGACACTTCTATGATAAGGGCACTGAAATGAAAGCAAATAGTGGAAGGAGGGCTGATAATACACAGAAACATTTTTAGAGAAGTGAAAAAGCAATATCTTTGGAGAGAAATTACAATGTATTTCCATAAAGGTACACTGAGTGTGCCTGCTTCTGCCTCCCCTTCCGCCTCCTCTGCCCTTCCATCTCTGCCACTCATCAACGTCAACCCCTCTTCCTCCTCCACCTTAGCCTACTCAGCATGATGGTGATGGGAATAAAGACCTTCATGATGACCCACTTCCACTCAATGAGCAGTAAATAATCATCATGCCATACAGGTAATAAACTTATCTCTTGAGTATGTGTGTGAGTGTCTTTGTCCTAAGAGCTAATAACTGTATGGCAAGGACTGTATGTGATGCTTCTGTGTCATCATCACCTTCATCATCACCACCAGCTAAGTATTAATCATGTAGAACATTGCATACAAGACTTGTATTGAAGTGGATGGTCTACCATTACATAGGCAGAAGGTGAGGATATTTAATATGAAACTAATAATGGCTTCGTTTTCCTACTGTTTTATAACTTTACTTTCAAAGAATTACATTACTGCACAGGGTCCCACTTCTCTCTTATCAATGGATAAGCTGCACATCAGACTGTCATCACAGGTAAGTGTTTTCTTTTAAAGTAACAATGTTTTCAGTACTGTATTATAAGTATTACCATAATAGTGTATGCTATAAAAATTTTTAGTGATTCATTCATTACTGTATATGCTTGGCAACCATGAAGCAATCCTATTGATTACACTAGGCTACTACAGAGCAGTCATATTACTACTTCTTCATTATCGAAGTTTGAATCATTCATTATACCTGTAACTAAATATGAATTTCTTTTTATATTTTCTTTTTTTATATTTAGTGTTTTGTATCTATAGTCTTTTGTGTCACGTAAGATAATATAGATATAGGTAGTGACAGATAATTCTTATAAATGGATGCTATAAACTTACAGTATTGCTAAATACAGTACTGTGAATATATTTTCTCTTATGATTTTCTTTTTTGTTGTTGTTAGTGAAAATAAGCTTTATTACATCAAGTAATAAATACAAAGACGCAAACAGTTCCATTTTCTTCCAGATGTTTGGGTCAACCCTCAGAAAAGGCAGAACTGAAATCTACATACAGTCTTAGGAAAAATTTCAGGGGTCCTTGTTAGGTTTGATTTGGGAGGTTGCTCTTTCTTCTGTATTTATAACTTGTGCATTTTAGAATGGACTTCAAAGCACTAATAATCATGCAAATATGCTTAAGCAAAAAAGAAGTTACATTAAGCAGAATCTATACCGTATGGCAAACGAGGGGACTGACTACTAGGTTAAGTGTGCTGTCAAGTCCGTACTACTGAAAAAAAAAAAAACCTTCAAGTTGTATCAGCTTGTGAAAAGGAACACAGAACAATCTGGATTAACATAAATGTATTCAAAAGAAAACCAGACATTGGTATCTCAGAGTCAAAACTAGTTTGCTGTAAGACAGGTATCTTCTACGTGCATCTTTTGAATCAATGCTTTTAAACAAAGAAAACAAAACCACAAACACCTGGAAAGTTCCTAACTATTTCCAATGTAACTCCTAATCAATTGCAAAATCTTTCCTCAATCTTAAAGAGACTGTAGATTCGGAGCCTAATTGAACCACGGGAGGGGCAGGGGGACGAGAAACTGAACTGGTTAACCATCTTGAAAACAAAAGTGTCATCTCAATAAGGGAGGTGAACCGTAACTTCTCCTCTGGGAAGAAGCTGGAAAACCTTCCAGGCTCACAGGGCAGCTAGGGCCTGGCGTTTCGTTCCGTTTCAGCCAGGCACTCCCGCACCAATCCTCGGGCATGAATGATGCTCCTTTTAGTCTCTCCATCGCACTCTTGCTGCCCGCGTAGGTGGGTCAAATCTCCTTCCCCAGCTCTTCGACGATGGCCAGCAGCTCGGCATATTTGCTCTGGGGCACCTGGCTGTGACCAGTGCCCTGGGTGTAGCCTAGAGATGGTGGCCCGTAGTCTCTCAGCAGCTGGCGGTGCTGTGAAGACGTGGCCATGCTGGTGGAGGGCGGGTGGACGCTCCCAGCGGCGGTGACGGAGGCGGCGGGCATGTGTGCGGTCAAGTTCGGTTTGTAAGACAGCCCCCCGAGCGGCGGGGCGCGCCGGGGCGCAGCGGGGCCCGACCCGCTAGGACGGCGGCGACTGCGAGGCGGTCCCGGCGTCCGTGCGGCCGCCGAGCTCCCGCGCGCTTTTTGTTGTTGACGGCTCGGGCCACACCGGCAGACATGGCCATCCCTCACCCTGACACCCGCTGCAGTATATCACCCATACATCGGGCGGGCGCGCGGGCGCAGGGGCGGCCGCAAACTTTGAGCGGAGCCAGCGGGGCCGGCCGGGGGCGGCGAGGCGGTCCCGGCGTCCGTGCGCCCGTCCGTGCGCCCGCCGAGCTCCCGCGCACTTTTTGTTGTTGACGGCTCGGGCCGCACCGGCAAATATGGCCGTCCCTCACCCTGACACCCGCTGCAGTATATCACCCATACATCGGGCGGGCGCGCGGGCGCAGGGGCGGCCGCAAACTTTGAGCGGAGCCAGCGGGGCCGGCCGGGGCCGGGAGGGGGCGCGCCGCGGCCGGGCGTCCTCTTATGAGTTTCTTAATAACATTTTAGTTTCTCTACCTTACTTTATTGTAAGAATACAGTAGAAAATACTTATAGCATACAAAATATGCAATCACTGGTTATCAGTACGGCTTCCAGTCAACAGTAGGTTATTAGTAGTTAAGCTCGGGCAGAGGGAAAAGTATACCGTTATTTTTGACTGCATGGGGGATTGGTGCCTCTAACCTCCACATGGTTCAAGGGTCAATTGTACATCCAAAGGAAGTGAAATCAGGATCTCGAAGAGACATCTTCACTCCTGTGTTCATTGCACCATATTTACAATAGCCAAGATATGGTAACAACCCAAATCTCTACCAACAGATAAATGGATAAAAAAATGTGGTAGACACAGACAATGGGATATAATTTCACCTTAAAAATGAAAGAAATCTTGTTATATGCGACAACATGGAGAAACCACAGGGGCATTATTCTAAATGAGTAAACCAGTCAGAGAAAGACAAATGCTGCATGGTTCCACTTATATGAGGTATCTAAAATTTTTAAACACATAGAAATCATGTGAATGTATGGTAAAACCCACTACAATATTGTAAAGTAATTAGCCTCCAACTAATAAAAATAAATGAAAAAAATAAAAAATAAAAAACACATAGAAACACAGAAGGCCCGGGGCAGGTAGAAATGGGCAGTTGCTTTTCACTTGGTATAATGTTTCAGTTATGCAAGATGAATAAATTCCAGAGATCTGCTGTGTAACATTGTGCCTGTATTTAACAGTACTGTATTGTGTGTCTAAAAATTTAAGAGAGTAGATCTGATGTTAAGTGTTTTTACCACAACAATAATTTGAAAAGTTGATTTTCTTGCTCTCTCTCTGGTAGAGAGTAAGCTGATTAAGTGAACGCATTTAGAAAACTCTTTTATACTGTTTGAGAGTGAGAATGTCAATGGGTGAAGCCACTGTCAAAAACAGTATTGAGGTTCCTCAAAAAATTAAAATTTAATTACCATATGATTCATCAAACCCACTTCTGGGTATCTATCCAAAGGAGTTAAAAGTACACTCTCCAAGAGATATCAGTATTCCCATATTTGTTGCAGCATTATTCACAGTAACCAAGACAGGGAAGCAGCCTAAATGTCCTTTGATGAATGAATGGATAAATATATGGTGTATACATATCATGGAGTGTTGTGTGTGTGCGTCCTCAGTCGCTCAGTTGTGTCCAACTATTTTCCAACCCCATGGAATCCAAGCTCCTCTGTCCATGGGATTTTCCACGCAAGAATACTAGAGGGGGTTGCTGTTTCCTCCTCCAGGGGAGGATGCCATTTCCTTCTCCAATGGGTTACCTCTTACAAGTGGGTTGCCATTTCCTCCTCCAGGGGATCATTCCAATCCAGGGACTGAACCCGAGTTTCCTGTGTGTCCTGCACTGGCAGGTGGATTATTTACCACTGAGCTACCTGGGAAGCCCATAATGGAGTATTATTCAGCCTTAAAGAGAAGGAAACTTTGTCATTTGCAATAATAGAGATGATCTAGATGACATTATGCTAAGTGAAATGAGCCAGACACAGAAGGACAAATACATGATACCACTTAAATGAGGAATCTAAAACAGGCAAACTGATAGAAGCAGGGTACGATGGTGATTGCCACGGCCTGGGAAGAGGCACAGTGAGAAAGTGATTGCCAAAGGACACAGATTTTCTGTTATATAAGATGAATAATTTCTAGAAATATACTGTATAGCATAGAGCTTATAGTTAACAATTCTATATTGGATACTTAAAGATTTTCTGAAAGGGTGGATGTTACATTAATTGTTCTTGTTCCTCCCCACCTCCAAAAAAATAAATGAGTAAATAAATAATGAGGGTAGGAGGAAGCTTTGGAGATAATGGACATGTTGTAGGCATATATTGTAAATATGGATCACAAGCAGGGGTGCCCACCATCCAGGCCTTGGATCAGCACCTCCTGTGAGAGCAGTAGGGGCATTTAGATTAGAAATAAAGTTCATAATAAATGTAATGTGCTTGAATTATCCCAAAACCATCCCCCACTCCCAGTCTGTGGAAAAATTGTCTTCTACAAAACCAGTCTCTGGTGCCAAAAAGGTTGGGCACTGCTGAAAGAAGATGGCAAAAGCAGGGGTAAAGAGGGCAGGCAGTTGGAGTTGAAAGCAAGTGTAAAAGGCCTGTGGTGAGGCAGTTTGGAGCCTTGTTGTTTTCAGTCATTGTCATGTTCCACTCTTTGTGACCCCATGGACTGCAGCTCACCAGGCCCCCCTGCCCTTCACTATATTCCAGAGTTCTCTCAAACTCATGTGCATGGAGTCAGTGATGCCATCCAACTATCTCATTCTCTACACCTCCTTCTTCTCCTGCTCTCAATCTTTCCTTCCTAGCATCAGGGTGTTTTCCAACAAGTCGGCTCTTTGCATCAAGTGGTTAAAGTATTGGAGCTTCAGCTTCAGCATCAGTCCTTCCAATGAATATTCAGGGTTGATTTCCTTTAGGATGGACTGACTTGATATCCTTGCTATCCAAGGGAGTCTCAAGAGTCTTCTCCAAGACCACAGTTCGAAAGCATCAATTATTTGGCGCTCAGCCTGCTTTATGGTCCAACTCTCAAATCTGTACATGACTACTGGAAAA